AACTTCCCGCCCAATTCCTAAAAAATCTCTCCTCCTAATAAAATATATTGATTTCTACTTTCCCATTCGTACAATAATTCTGCGTTAAAAATTCTATTCTCATATTATTATAAAATACTGTAATACAATCTATACTATATATAAAAACAAAATCCTGAAATTTCAACTTCCCGCCCAATTCCTAAAAAATATCTCCTCCTAATAACTTTTGACTTTTGACACTAAGTTGTAAAGTGTCAAAAGTTCGGCAAGGCATAACTTTTGACTCCGTTGTCCGTTTTAGACAAATGTTTTTTTGAAATCGCGTATTTTTTCGAGATCTATCCACCGCAAACTGCCGTAGGCGGTTTGGCCCACCAATTTCTAAAAAAAAATACTTTATTAAAGAGTTTCTAAGAAAAAACTATGAGAACCCTATGTTTTATTAATGAATTTTTAAAATTTTTAATTAAACAATTGTCCCGTGCATTATTTAATAATCTTTCTTTATAATTGGTCAAATTATTTAATTATGGTAAATTTAGGAATAATTAATGATGGTAATAGAAATCCTAGAAGAATATAGAATTGAACAATATTTAATTATTGTTATATTATTATTGTGACTCACGGAATACACAAGAGTTAATGCCATTTTTGGTCCTAGACTTATTGGGGCATTGACAGTTTTCATCCTCCATAATAAAAATTGCCACTTAGTAACCACTGTTATTGGTCGTTGGACAGTGTTGATCCTCCGTCAATGACGTCGTTTGTTGACCGTGAATTAGAAGGATTTTTCTGTCTTTTTATGTTCTAATCCTTGTATTTCTCCATCCATTGGTCACTGCTACATCCATTTCTTCAAACTGAGGTTATCCGCTTCAGTCCTTTCTAACATTAAGAAACCATCTTCACCCAACTAACAATCACGAATTTTACATTTGACATCAATCTCAAGATAATAGAAACAAGTGCAGTTGGAATAGAAAGGGTGTTAGTCCATGCCTGTGGAAATTTTGTCGAGCATACAACATAACTAGCAAAGTCAGGAATATCACCCAACCCCTCCCTTAACCTTTCTACATCAACTATAATAGGTATGCCCCTACTCTTTGCCTCCTGCACTATAATCAAAGCAGTCTCATGCAGCCTTCCATCTAAGTAGACAATATTTACTCCAAGCGCTGAAGACAATTTTGATTTGGGTATGTAGACCCTCAGATATCATGGGTGGATATCCTGGAGTGAAAATGCACGTGCGAGTTTTTTTTTTTTTTTTTTTTTTTTTTTTTTGGTTGTCAACAATGACATATGTGAATGGTGAGTTTCCTCCTTTGGACACCACCATAAAAGATGTATCAACACCATCCCTTTCAAGCTCATCAAGTATTCTTTCGTCATGCGAGTCATCAACAACCTTAGATATGATCCTTGGATTAAGACCAAGACGAATTTTATCATCCGGGTTTTATCAAAGCATTGTCAGTGTTACCACCTCCTTGAACCTCAAAGCTGGTGCTCCGAATTTTATCATCCGGGTTGGGGAGTGAAGCTACAGCAGCCAGGAAGTCATCACCGGCCATCCCAACACCTCAGACAATGCGATTTTTAGGGAGCGGCGGATTCCACATTTTCAGCTTGAAACTTCAATGAATTTCAGGTAGAATAATAGAGTTTTTGAGGTTGTGCACCAAGTAGTTGTGGTCAGAGAGAGAGAGAGAGAGAGAGAGAGAGAGAGAGATGGGAAGGATATTTGTGGTCAATATGGAAGGGAGGACTTACAGGTGCAAATTCTACATCACGCCATCTACAACTACAACTGCTATTTACCATAGGAGGGTTCGCCGACCTGCTGCCCTCTCTGCTTCGCCGGAACCAAAAACCACCGGTGAAGGCCCCAACCTCGCCGGATCTGTTGCTGCACCGTCAGATCTGCCTTACTGGTCCGTCGCTGGAAGGCGTTACTGCCCCGTATGCTCGCCGAAGAAGAACCTCGCTGCTACTCACTACCGACGGTTACTACTTAGCCGCCAAGTCTCGCCATCTCGCCTCACAGGAGTCACAGCAGCGCTGGTCTAAACAAGATTAGAAGAATAAGACATAAAAAGACAGAAAAGCCCATCTAATTCAAGGTCAACAAACAGCTTCATTGACGGAGGATCAAAACTGTCCAACGACCAATAACAGTGTCTACTAAGTGGCAATTTTTATTATGGAGGATGAAAAGTGTCAATGCTTCAATAAGTCTAGGACCAAAAATGGCATTAAATCCGGAATACAATACAAGAATATTTAATTATGGTTATATTATTATTGTGCCTCACGACCATTATATACTAACAGTACTTGAAAAGAAACTAATAATAATAATAATATAATCCTTTATATAATAAAGCTATATGGTTTGGGAAATAATTAATGTTACAATTAATGCCACAACATTCTTTATTATAAAAAAGAAAAAAAAAAGAAAAAAAAAAAGAAAAAAACACACACAACATTTAAAAAATAAAATAGCTATATATTATATAATCATATAAAAAAATATACTTTTGAAAAATAAAATAGCTATATATTATATAATCATATAAAAAATGTGTTCAATTAGAGTTTAAATTTACACATACAAGATTTGAAATTTGCTTTCCAAATGTAACTATCTTAGTTATTATTCGTATTGTGAAAATTATAATATAGATGAAATACAATTAATAATAAATCAATGTAATTATGTAAATTCTCTTTTATTTGAATATGCACATAATTAGAGATTATATTAACCATATAAAATTATAATTTTAATTGTAATTTTGTATTATATAAAAATAATAAATACTTGACCAATGGAAGCTCAAAAATATTATTATATTAAATAATTTAAAATATTTTAATTTTTTTATTTTTTATTTATATTTATAATAACATAATTTTTTCCGTGCATCGCGCGGGTGAATTACTAGTAATAATAATAATAATAATATAAGTGGTAATAATAATATCTAAAAGTAATTAAGTGTTAATAATAATAGTAAGAATATTAACGTAAGAGTTGTAACATAGAATAAATCGTAATAATTAATAACTATAGTCTATGATTAAATTTGAAATTGTCAGAAAAGATAAATGACCTCTGGTGAAATTAACTCTTAAGTAATTATATATCAATTTAAATATTCTTAATATATTACAACAATTCCATTCCGTGCATCGCACGGGTGAAAATACTAGTTATAGTTAAAAATTCTATTCTAAAATTATAAAATAATGTAATACAATTCCCTTTGCACATCTAATCTATATCTAATCTATACTATATATAATAACAAAATCCTGAAATTTTAACTTTCCGCCCAATTCCTAAAAATTCTCTCTTTCTAATAAACTATATTGATTTCTACTTTCCCATTCGTACAATAATTCTGCGTTAAAATTCTATTCTAATATTATAAAATAGTGTAATACAATCTATACTATATATAAAAACAAAATCATGAAATTTTAACTTCCGCCCAATTCCTAAAAAATCTCTCTTCCCAATAAAATATATTGATTTCAAATTTCCCATTCGTACAATAATTTTGGATAAAAAATCTATTCTAAAATTATAAAATAATGTAATACAATTCCCTTTGCACATCTAATCTATACTATATATAATAACAAAATCCTGAAATTTTAACTTCCCGCCCAATTCCTAAAAAATCTCTCTTCCCAATAAAATATATTGATTTCTACTTTCTCATTCGTACAATATAAAAATTCTATTCTAAAATTATAAAATAATGTAATACAATTCCCTTTGCACATCTAATCTATACTATATATAATAACAAAATCCTGAAATTTTAACTTTCCGCCCAATTCCTAAAAATTCTCTCTTTCTAATAAAATATATTGATTTCTACTTTCCCATTCGTACAATAATTCTGCGTTAAAATTCTATTATAATATTATAAAATAGTGTAATACAATTTATACTATATATAAAAATAAAATCCTGAAATTTTAACTTCCCGCCCAATTCTTAAAAAATCTCTCTTCCTAATAAAATATATTGATTTCTACTTTCCCATTCGTACAGTAATTCTGCGTTAAAATTCTATTCTAATATTATAAAATAGTGTAATACAATTTATACTATATATAAAAACAAAATCCTGAAATTTTAACTTCCCGTCCAATTCCTAAAAAATCTCTCTTCCTATAAAATATATTGATTTCTACTTTTCTATTCGTACAATAATTATGCGTTAAAATTCTATTCTAATATTATAAAATAGGGTAATACAATCTATACTACATATAAAAACAAAATCCTGAAATTTTAACTTCCCGCCCAATTCCTAAAAGATCTCTCTTCCTATAAAATATATTGATTTCTACTTTTCAATTCGTACAATAATTCTGCGTTAAAATTCTATTCTAATATTATAAAATAGTGTAATACAATCTATAGTATATATAAAATCAAAATCCTGAAATTTTAACTTCCCGTCCAATCTATTTTCTTTAACGTAAGAGTTGTAACATAGAATAAATTGTAATAATTAATAACTATAGTCTATGATTACATTTGGAATTGTCAGGAAAGATAAACGACCTCGGGTGAAATTAACTCTTAAATAATTATATATCGATTTAAATATTCTTAATATATTACAACAATTCCATTCCGTGCATCGCACGGGTGAAAATACTAGTTTTGTTATAAAATAATCTTACTTGCCTCAAGTGAGGTTTAATCCTTTTACTTCTCATTTAGGGAAGCAACCCAATACCAGTGGACCACAAACTACTTGGTTGGAAAAGAATTCAAAACTCAATTCAATACAGAACGATAAGATTACAGGAGAGTATATTTGAGTCTATCTCTAACTACTCCTATGTAACAGGATATAAGAAGACTTATTCTAACCATATAAAACTAACCATATGTTATAAACATAAAATAATAATAATACTCACAGTTAGAAGGTGACTATTTGTGACTAGCAATTGCGTATTAGCATTTTCCTTTGGCAGGATAATATTTTTATTGACTGGATAATGATAAATTCTCCATTTTAGCTTCTTCTTTCTGCTCTCTCTAGATTTCTTCACTCTACTCTCTTTCTTTCAATTTGTAGGAATTGTTCTCGTTGACCGGAAGTATATCACAAATTTGATTTCATGGATGCGGATTATTGGATGGCAGCCCAGGCACAGCGCGGCGGTGCCGTTGTAGCCGCTGCAGCGGCGGATGCCAACGGAGCTGCGGAGACAGAGGACTGGCGAACTCAGCTTCAAACTGATTCCCGTGAAAGGATCGTGAACAAGATGTAGTGTTTCTCACACGTCTTCATCTTTTTTTCTTCTTACCTAGTAATATCTGCTCATAATTTTCAATTTTCAATTGTGTTCCGTGAGCGTGATGATACTGGCTTCCGATTTGGACTCCAGTTTCCAAGTCTTCTTTGCTGAGAATGCATAATGTTTTTATGCTGATTTATATTCTATGCCTTATTGAAACCGTTTCAAAACGATCTAACTTTATATTACTGTTACTCTTGATTCTATGTCTTTCATGGTCTACAGTGATTGATAAGTCATGTGTGAAACTAACTAGCCGTATGACAACATTTCGGGGGTTATTTATTCAATCAAGCAATATGCATTCTTGTCCTTAGTAATTTTTAATTATTGTTAATTAAGATCATAATTGCATTTCTTTTAGCTTTATCATACATCCAATTTGAATTTCTTTTGTGCTTGGACTTTGTGAAATTTACATAATTTAAATATTTATATTCATCCTTTTTTTAGTTTTTGCTATCCTGATCTTTACTCTTGAATATCACAATGTGTGTTCAAGTATTGGGCATAGATATCTAATCATTGACATACCTGGAAAATATATGGTTGCTATTTAGCAATATTCATGTTTTCATGCCTTTTATTTTTCAAGTTGTTATTGGAAAGTATTTAACTATATATGCATTAGGCATATCCTGTAGACTGTAGTAATAAAATTATACAGCCTTCTTTTGTTGAAATACATGTCTAAGGCATTGGTATTTATGCACTTCCTGCTCACATAGCTATGTGTGCCTCACTTGTTGGGATGTAAAGTTACATTTTAAAGAATGTCCATTTACTCCCAAAGGCAATTAATTTTTCAGTGGTGAGCATTTATCACAGTCATGATGAACATCCATTCTATAAATCACCATTTTTCGTGAGTCAGAGCATGTGATAATGTGATAATTATCCCCGAAGGTAGAAAAGGGTGCACAATTTATTTTATTAAAACTTGCAATCTTCTAGCACCAGAAATAGTAGTATTGAATATAACACTAACAGCACTTTGAATTTTTTTTGGGTAGATCTGAAATATTCCCACCACAAAGAATAATCTTATATTTCACCAGGAACACCTTTAGGTTAGTTTTATTGATATCAGCTTTGATGAGAAGATGCATACCCCACATTTAGCAGTAATTTTTGTTTTTTTGGGCAATATTACTGTCTTAATGATGGCTTTGAAACATATTCTCTGGTAAGATTGGGTGGCATTGCTCTATTTTCTACGCTGATTTAAATGAATGTTTATTATGGCTATAGAATGGAGACTTTAAAGAGGCATCTTCCACACTCTGGAGAAGAAGGGCTTCAGGAACTTAGGAAAATTGCAATGAAGTTTGAGGAAAAGGTTTACATTGCTGCTACAAGTCCGGTGTGTATATGATGCATGTTTCTACTATTTCTCCAATATGTTAATTACTATAAGGGGGTGTTTGGTTCAAGTTATATAACATAACCAAGGGAATGTGAGATTTGGAATGTCACATTCCCATGTTTGGTTCAAGTTATCTTGCTTTTCCAAGGGATTATAACATTCCCTCCACATTGGATTTGAAGGGAATGTGATTCCCTTACATCTCTTAGGTCTTGTAAGATTCCCATGCATAATTTCTATTTTTGCCCTTTTAATTCTAATTAGTATGAAGTATATGTTTTATGTTAGATTATTATATGTATCATATTTAATTATTTTTATAATTATATATTTTATTTTATTTCTTATTACGTCATGTTAACTGATAATGTAGTTTTGTTTATCGAGTTCAAGCTCTTAGCTAATTGTTTTTAAATCATGTACTTATACATGTTACCATTGCCTTATTTATTTATTTATTCTAATTTTGAAATTTATTGAAATACACAAAAATATGTTAATGTGTGTGAACGACTTTTGTACATTTCATCATGTATCTTGATGATCTATACATGTAATAAGATTTTTTTTTTCTCTCAACTAAATGCTTGTTGCAGTCAGATTATCTAATGAAGATATCTTTAAAGATGTTGTCTATGGAGCGTGGAGATTGGCGGTCTCAGCTTCAACCTGAATCTCGACAAAGGATCATCAACAAGATGTAATTTTTCTGATACTTCTCTACCTTTCCCACACATCACACACATGTAGTATCTTCAGAAATTGAAACTTTTGAATATGTTTTTGGAGCTTGTTGGTTTTGGTTTGCAAATTGAATGCTAAAGTTCAAACTTTGCTGTGAATGCCGTGTATACCTTCTGGAATTCTTTTACATTTATAGTGATTCTGGTGATTTTTTGTCAATCTTATTCGTAGTGTCGGAAAAGGTGCTATTATATCACCACTGCACTTATAATGATATTGATAAGCATAGAAAAGGTATAAGTTGGATATTGGATATTGGTCTTTGGTGATGGCTTTGAAATGCTTTTCTTGTAGGTAGGATATTATTTCCATCTTTATTACACTGACGGATATTTATATTTACTCTGATGGCTATAGAATGGAAACTTTAAAGAGGCATCTTCCCTTCTCAGGACCAGAAGGGCTTCATGAGATTCGAAAAATTGCAGTGAGGTTTGAGGAAAAGATTTATTCTGCTGCTTTAAGTCAGGTGTGAATGTAATGTGCAATTATCATTATTTCTCCAATGTTTTTTTTAAGTATATGCAAAATTGTGTATGATAATTATGCCATTTGTTAACGTTTCTGTTTTTACTATCAGAATGTGCTTTGGCTGATCTATGCTTGTATGGCCTTAGTGACCTTTTCCTTCTCAACCTAATTTCATTGCAGTCTGATTATCTGCGCAAAATATCTTTGAAGATGTTGTCTATGGAGACAAAATCACAAAATCCCATGGCCAATTCTCTGCAGCCTGACAATGCAAGTAGTAGTCAGGATCCTCAAGGCTCAGGTAATGTAACAGATGTTCATGCACTTCTATTCTGTTTTGACAATTTGTTTTTCCTAACTCTTCAAATAGAGATATTTACCCTTAGTCAAATCAAAGTGGATGGAATATTTTAACCAAAAATAGTGGTTCAAGGCGGATGGAATATGCATGTGTATTGTAAGTCGACTTACAAAAGTGGTTGACTGCAATGTATTTCTTGGGCACAATACTTTGACTCATCTATTGAATTATCTGTGGACTGTGGATGCTTTAAACCAAGAGGACAGTTTCATTTAAAACTATTTTTACTGCTACCCTACTAACTAATGAGCTGGAAGGTAACTCATGTTAAAGAGAAGATTGATAAATTATAATCCAGGTGCAAGGAAGAAACCAATCTGTAGTTCAGTTTGATAGCCTACCGAAATGTGGTGGTAAACTGATGGAGGCTGCTGCGAAATATTAGTAGAACCTTATTGATTAATGTTGGGAAGAAACCTGTACAATGTGCTGAGATGAATACCAAAGGAAATTGTGTGTAAATGTGAATCCTAAGATAGAGACAGTTCAATATACTAGAAATCTGATGTATATGTCATGGTAGAAGCACATCAACAATGTACCAATGAAGCTAGCATTTTTTCCTAGATTTTCATAAATAGAAGGTCAATGGTTGAAATCATTTTTTTTTTTTAGATATTGTCTTGTAGTGTCAATAGTTGTAAGGTACTTGATCAGTTGGTGTATTATGAGCTGGGGTCACCTAGCAAAGTGAGTGAGCTGATCCTTGTGCTGATGAATACCAAAGGAAATTCTGTGTAAATATGAATCCTAAGATAGTGACAGTTTCATATACAAGAAATCTGATGTCTATGTCATGGTAGAAGCCCACATCAACAATGTACCAATGAAGCTAGCATTTTTTTCCATTGATTTTCATAAATAGAAGGTCAATGGTTGAAATCAATTTTTTTTTTTAAAAAAAATATTGTCTTATAGTGTCAATATTTGAAAGGTACTTGATCAGTTGGTGTACTATGAGCTGGGGTCACCTTGGTGGGTGAGCGGAGCCCTGTGCTGATGTTAGCAAGGGATTTGCCACCTCTAAACCAGCTTCATACGGCCCAAGTCAGATTCATCACATGATTGTTCTAAGCTACATTCATCAAAATCCAGTCATATTGATCTCAATTTATGGCGTTGAATTATGATGAATTTGGCATACGACTTTGATGAATCTGGTCCTATGATTTGGTGAATTTGTTGTAATGTTACCGACTACATCAGTGTGTCTCTCACCTTTCAAGGTGAGCCCAAGCTCATAATATAATTTTGCTTCACTGGATGGCACTCACAGACTATTAAGAATAACAGTTGGTGAGTTACTAATATTGCTTAAGAACCCTTGGATGGGTATTTGACTGTTTGAACACCGAATATAGGATTCCTTCTCTCTCATCTCTTGTTCTTCTATTTTTGGGATATGATATCAGTTTGTTGGACAAAGCTTCTTTTTATTGACTATTAGAACCTGGCCTGTTGAATGTTATACTGCAACATGTAAATTCTAGTCATATTTTCTAATGATTTTTCTTGCATTTTTTAAAAAAAATTTCTTCAGGCATTTCATTAGCCTTGCAGGATCAGGTATACTATGCAGCTTCCTCAACCCACTTGATCTTTTCCTCTTTCAGTTATATGTGACATTTTAAGGTCTTGAATTTTGCTTGTCCTGCCTTTGTTTCCAGCGGAGTGTTGTCTGATTCCATATGGACAAAATTCATGAAATAGTTATTGAGAGTAGCAACAATGTGGACCGCCTTAGATTGCCGATAAGTAAAAGAAGTTCAGAGTTAGGGGTTTGGTTCTGGATTGGTGCAACTTACTGTGTTATAATTGGTGTAGGGAAAGTGACTTTGCCTAAGATCAAGTGCTATGCTTGAAATGTTTTTTCAATTACTGTGCTTGAAAATGTTTGTATAATTACTGTGCTTGAAACTGGTAGTTTTTTGTCCTTTTTAACACAAGTGTGATAGGCTCTCCACAAGTGTAAGAAGGAGTTGAATATAATTCTTCCCAAAATAATTGTTGATGAGATTCGTTGCTTTCCCTCTACAGGTGTCAAATGAGCACGTTTGAGCTGGCCTAGTTTGACCTGGCAAATAATTGTGTGGACTATGCAAGATATATTTTTAATATATTAAAAGTACATTATTTATGTACTAAATGTACATTATTTGATATTCCATTCGTCCTATTTTATGTGCCTGGTTCGGTTAAAGAGGCTTGACTAAAGTTATTTTTAATTCAATATTTCATAATATTAAATTTAGTAATAGTATATAAAATTTATATATTTAGAAATTATACTAAAAGTACTATTAAATACAAAAAATCAAATTAAAAATAAGTACAAGATATTAAAGAAAATAAACATAGAAGAAATAGTTGGTTTGATCAATAAATAGTAAGTATTATAGATAAAATGGGATAGATGGAGTAATATATAAAAAATCATATACTTTCAAATATTGTACTTTTATGTATACAAATAATTACTTTTAGTATATTAAAAATGTACTTTTTATTAATGGTTCACACAAATGTGTGGACCATGGTCCATGTAATAATAATTGTAGCAAATTATACCGTGGACCATGGTTCAAAAATGGTGCCGTTTCTTTTAATGACAAGAAACAGCACCCGTTTTGTGTAATTGGCTTTGCTTGTATAACATATGCTTTGTTTGTATAACATATGCTTTGTTTGTATAACATATTCAGTTTCATTTTATATACATTGTAGTTTTATTTCAGCACAATTGTAATTTCATTTTGTTCCCACTACAGTTTCATTCGACATTATACATACAATAGTCTTATTACATTGAGACATGTTATTGAATTTCATTTTGTACACACTGTAGTTTTATTACAACACCACTAAATTATAATTCTAATTCAACTACGGTTACATTGGACCATATACACTCAAATATGTGAAATTGTTATTCAATTTCATTTTATATACACTGTAATTTCATTACAACACAACTATAGTACCATTCTGATATAACTACAGTTCCATTGGACAATAAACACTCAAATATGTGAAACTTGTAACAAAAAAAAAAAAAAAAAAAAAAAAAATTCTTCCAAATTAAGCCTATTATATATATAAAAAAAAAACTAGTCAAAATCTTTTCCCAATATTTTCATAACTTGACTAGTGTCTATTATAAATAAAGTATTTATTCAAGAACCCTTATAGTGAATAATTAAATACAAGAGTCTACTTATATACCTTAGTTTTCAAGACCCATTTTGAAAAAAAATATTCTTTTATATAATAGTCAACCCAAAAAAAAAAAAAAAAAAATGAGAGGAACTTGTGAACCTGATAGCTAAGTTTCCTTCAAAACTTGATTTTCAAAATAAACCTATCTTATTTCTATACCTTTTATATTGTATTTTAATATGAATTTAACCCAACTTTTGACCCAAAATTATAACCCAAGTTCAAAATCCCAAATTTCCTAAAATGCCCTTGTGAACAGTTTCCTTCACCTGATGCAAGACCTAGGGCTTTGTGCCCTAGGTATAAATATGCACTATTCCATTAGACTTGCCTCCCAATTCCTCCTCATTTCATTTCTCCTTTACTTTTCTTCTCCTGAGAGTTAAGCTAGCAAGAGACAACATCTGAGTAAGGCTTCCTTCATCTCTTCCATTCATTTCTGTTAGGAATATATTGTATAAGTTTCGATGAGCCAAATGTATTTTGTAGACCCCAATTTTATTTTATTTGAGTCAGTTCTGGTTCACAAAGTATGGTGCACCCCTGCCATGAAGCCTACGTGAAAGCCTTGTTGATGGAAGAATAAATGTAAGCGGGATCACATCTTAACACATTTATGAAGCATTAAAATCATTAAAGGTTGAGATGGATGAGATGGAAGAAGACTTGTTGAAGTATACTTGATACCTAATTATCTATGGTTTAATTCCCATTGAGAGCATTTTTGTCAAAGTTTTTAGACATGATATCTTTGTTATCGGTTGATGACGTCACAACGTGATATGTTTTAAAAGGGTTATGGAACCCATATGGAGAGAAGAGACAAAAGGATTTTAAGCCACAACATGTATCAAAAGGTTAACTAGTCGAGTTGGAAAGAACCTTATAAAGTAACTAAGTGATACATAGTTTGATTCTCACTTAAAGCAATTTTTATGAAGACATGATAACAAGTACACGATACAAGTTAGACATAATATAAAATTGGGATATGACACCATCATGATACAATTGTTAGACTGAAGGAGTACACCGAAGGAAATCTTGTTAGACTGAAGGAGTACACCGAAGGAAATCTTTTATTACTCAAGCAAGAATCAGCAGATGAAGCAGATGAATTACTCAAGCAAGAATCAGCAGATGAATTATTTGATCAACTTGACAGATCAATAATGCAACCAAAGTCAAGCCTGAGATTAATTCAAATTTGGAGGCTACACATTCCAAGAAAAGTTTTGTCAGATTAATGAAGAACAACGACAAGATTATTCAAATCTTCTGACAGACGGCGAAATGACTTTGCAGATCAAGTTGACACAATTATTTGATCAACTACAATTCAAAATGAACGATCGAGATCGAAAGTTGATCAACGGACAAATAGCTATCTTCTGCTATAAATTGTCCAAGCATACTTGAAGACAAGCAACGGTGCAGATAACACAACGAATGAGCAAGCACCCACGGCTAACAAAAAGAAAAAAGCAACCAATATTTTTAGCCAGTAAAGGGGAATAGATCTTCATTAGAAAAATTCAAGTCTGAGAGAGAAATCATTGTATTTCATTGTAAACACTTCTACTGAGTGTAGAAAAGGGGTAGAGTAACTAGAGAGAGTGAAAAACCCAGTTTGAGTGTAGCTTTGTGAGTAACACTCGGTTGTAAAGGGAAGAGTAACAAGAGGAGCTTGTGAAAACCCTGTGAGAGCGTAGCTTTGTGCGTATTTCTCGTGGTGTAGGAGTACAGCTTGGTGCGAAGTACTCGGGAAGGCGGAGTAACAAGAGGAGCTTGCGAAAAACCTTGGTGGAGTGTAGCTTAGTGCGAAGCACTCGGAATAGTGTCGGCGGGCAATAATTCACTATTGTATCTGGGTGATCGAAGAATAGTGAATTTCCTCCTTGGAGTGAAAGGTGAAGAGTGGAGTAGGAGAATTACACCATCTCCGAACCACTATAAATCTCTCTCTCTATTTACTTACTGCTCATTTAATTTCGTGCATGCTTATATCAACTGTGAACTAACCCGTTACGATTTATCGCGTATCTTTATCTGTCTGGGTTTGATAGTTCCCACGTTTGCATGCAAGCGAAATGTTACATACATCATCCTTAATCTATATCAAGTGTTTCTAACGTGTTGCATGTATAGAATCTCTCTTTGAGCACCGCACAATCAAGTATAACACTTTGCCGTTACATATTCCGCTGTGCACACTCTAAATTGCTTAACTTGTTTATGCTTGTTATTTAGAGTTGAAATTACCAAAGTGTTGTATGCTTAAGAAAAGTTTGAAAAGTTAGAGAAGTCTATTCACCCCCCCCCCCCCTCTCTCTAGACTTCTCGCCACCCATTCGGGACCAACAAGTGGTATCAGAGCAGTTGTCTATTTAGTCATTTCTTGACTGCTAGGCAGATCTCAAAACTTTAAAATGAAGAGAGATATAGTTCTTGCTCAAAATTTGCTTTTCTCACTTGATAAATTTGATGATTGAAAAATACGTATGCAGGTGCACTTATCTGCTTTAAATGATGAAATGTGGAAAGTCAGCACAAATGGTCCTATTTCGATCATGCAAGCTAATACCGCTACCACACGAGATTCAACAGCTCCACAATATGTTCCAAAGCCAAAAATGGAGTGGACTAGTGAAGATAGATGTCGAAATAACTTGGACAATATTGCCAAGGATATTTTGTTCAAAGCGGTCGATGACACCATATTCCCAAAGATTCAAAAGTGCACTACGACGAAAGAAATATGAGATACTCTCATAAGCATCGGTGATGGCGACGAACAAGAAAAGGACAACAAGCTAACCATCACAATGAAAAGATTCGAAGATTTCAAAATGCTTTCTAACGAAAGTATTACCGATATGGAAGCTCGCTTAGTCAAGATTCTTGGTGAAATAATTGATCTTGGCAAAACCATCTCCCAGAAGGAAATATCACTCAAAGTATTGCGTGGACTACCTTCTAATTGGGATATGAAAGTAAACGCGATGCGAGATCATAGAGATCTAAGGACGTTATCTACATATAAACTCTTTAGTGATCTTAAGGCGTATGAGTTCGAGATGAAGACAAGAATAGAAGAAGAACGCGATGAACGAACATCCGCACTGGTAGCCGATCAACCGTCTACATCAATGTCAGTAGGAAATAATGATTTTTTATCTGACGAACAATTTTCCTTATTTGTTAGGAAATTCAAAAAGTTCATGCGAAAGAACAAATTCAAGAGTTCACCACAAGGAAGCTCGTTTAGAAGACCAAGGAAAGAATAAGTCGAAGATAACACAAATGTGTGTTACAATTGTAGAAAGCCTGGACACTTTATGGCCGAATGTCCACACCCCAAGGTAAGCAAAAATTTGAATGCTACTAACCCTTCGCAGGAAGAATACAAGTCGAAGGAAAAGAGATTCAAGAAGGATAAACGAAAAGCTTTGATAAGTGATCCGCTAGAAGCAAGCGAATCCGAAGAATCATCCAGTGACGAAAGTGAGTCATCACAAGAAGATACGACGCTTCTATGCTTAGTTGGCAAGACATCCAAACATGAGGAATGTTTAATGGCGCGCGAAACCGACGAAGAGGTATCTTCTAGTTCTTTTAGTTCCGTTGACACCTCTTTCGAGACTCAAGAATCATTTCAAAGTCTTATGGAAGATTGTCAAAATGTCATGGCCACTCATACTTAAATCAAAGAGCGCAATAATACGTTAATCCTTGAAAAGGAAGAAATATCGCGAAAATTGCAAAATGCTCTAGATGAAATGAGTAACTTGAAAGCCG